CAAAAGAAAATAAGTCACCCAAACATGAAAACGATCCAATTTACTATTAAATTGCTCAAATTATTACAAGATCTTCTACAAAACAAGAACTCAACAGCACAAAGGGTACCAGCATATTAAGAACAATTGTAGCACTTTTTTGGCTTAAAAATTTTGTGAAGATCCAAGCATATACATCTATTTTTTTCTGATTTACCACATAAAAGAAAGTTAGTATAATATACCCATCTTAACTGCATTATGCTTTAAATTATTAAAATGTTAGATAAAGTTAAGGCAAATAGATTCTTGTTCCTTTTTTTCTCCTGCAATCCTACGTTGATTACACGAAAATGCAAATGAAGGCAACAACATCCTACATTAAACAATTCAATTCGATTGATTGGCTAACATTCATTGAGGAAGCCGTCGATGCCTAAACAAAGAAACAAAACTTGCAACAATATACAATAAATCCATACGATCAATTATTTCAAGTCAAAGGCCACTATAAAGAACAGAACAATATAAAACAAAACAAAGCAAAAACAAATACAAAACAAAACTTCATTTTTATCATGGATGATCAACAACATATTTCCTAAACTTCATGTCATAACATTTAGATGTAAAAACAAATTCCTGGTTTGAGCAAATTTGAGTGAAATTAGAGCATGATATGATTGTGGCTTCTATTAAAAGAAAAAATTTAAATTACCGGGTAGTCGAAGGGAAATAAGAATACAACCTTTGAATAAATCAAAAATAATGATTTACCTTTAACATCTAGAACAAATTCTGAATTCTGAAAAATCAAAACTGCTAAAAAATGTATACAACAAAAATCACAACATATTTCAACATATATAGAATAACTTTGATAGTTTTTAGAATACAAAAATCTAACCAATAATTCAAGGAAAAAATTGTATTATGCACAAATAATCTGGTGATAACAATGTTAGCCCTAATTTCAATATCCAGTTACCAAAATGCAACGTTTCAAAAAGAAGTCTCCATTTGCATGTCTTTGTGTCAACGAATGCTAAGCAAATATATTTCCATAAACAGTTAACATGCAATAAAAGCTAAAAAACTGTAAATAAGTTTATATATATTATAATATTATATAAAAGCTAAAAAAAGTTAGTATCTTTCCAGTTTAGTAAAAATAAACAAAACTATAATCAAACAAAAATAAATAATTACTCATAAATAACAATCAAACTCAAAATTTCCCATGAGACAGGTAACAGGCTAAACGATTATACCTTGGTTACAAAACTCTGAAGCTGCACGACCTACCTTTTGTCTTCGAGATCTATCGCATGAAAGATGAAAGATGATAAAAGTGAGAGCATTAAAGAATGAAATTATCAATCTTTAAAGGTTAATTTACCTAAAACACTGAACGACGACGAGATTCGAGGGAGGAGTCGACGACGAGCTTCGAGGGCAGAGTCGACGACGAGCTTCAATGGAGGAGTAGACGACGATATTCAATCCCTTGATCAATTGGAGTCGGTTTTGAAGGAGGAGAGTGAAAGAAAGATCAGATCTGAAGGAGGCAGCTGACAAATGCAAAACAGAATGAAATCATCAATCTTCAAAGTTTAAATCAACAAATCTGGAGAAAAAAAAGAAATCTTTACCTAAAACCGTGAACGACGACGAGCTTCGACGGCGGAGTCGACGACGAGCTTCAATCGCTTGATGGGAGTCGGTTTTTAAGGAGGAGAAAGAAAGATCAGATCTAGATCTGAAGGAGGCGGCCGACAAACACAAAAGAGAATACGTTGCCCTAAAACCCCACTCTTAGATATTTATAGGTGTATAGTGGGTGTCATTTGTAAAATAATATTTACATAATAAATATTTGCAATAATTTCAATTAAAAGGACTACCAAAACAAACAGTTAATGAACTACGTTTTGTTAAATTTTCTATGAAATATTTATCAAATAAATAAACTACATTGGACTATGTAAATATTATTTATCAAATAAATATTTATCAAATAAATATTTATCAAACATATCTTAGGTTAAATTTTATTTATTTATAAACCAAATACTGAAAAATATTTGTTTTGTATTAAATGAAATATCGCTCTGAACTTGAACATATACATAAACGAATAATAATCAAATATTAATTAATTTTTCATTTCGCTTTCACAACTATACTTATACTTATTTTATAATTTATAGAAAAATATTAAAATTATTTATAGCATAATACTTAATTTTGTTAACATAATCAATATTTGCAGAATATATCTTAAAAACCGTGCTTTGCACGGGTCTAAATACTAGCAAAAGAGAACAACAAAAAAGCTAAAATGAACAGTAAATTTTTTTATTTTCTACCTATTATCCTCTCAATTCTCCACAACCGTCCAAGTTAATTCACCGCAACCGTTCAAACTCTCCATGTTCTCTCTCCCTCTCTCTGACATTCCCCATTTTGTTTCTCTTTCTTCCGAGCGCAACCGCTATGAACACTTTCCCCATTCTTTTCTCTACTGATTTCCTTCTCTTCTCCTGCCTCCCTGGCCTCTCTGCCCTCTCCCATCTCCCTCCCTCCCCCCCCCCCTCGCCCCAATCCCCCAACGCCTCCTTTTTTTCCGAAAAAAAGGGCAACCCCCACCTCATGAGAAAAAAAAATCTCATGTTGTAAACCAACCTCGCTCGCATTCCCATTCTCACAATCGTTGATCCGATCATTTCCTCTCCGCCTCGGGTTTCTTTTCTCCTCCGCGTCGATGGACATCGCAACTCGGAGATCGCATTACGGCAAGCAAGCCGAATCACAGGCCCGCGACGGGCCCTCTAAACCCTCGGCACCGGCGGCCGCCCGGCGGACGGCGCGAGCATCGCGTACAACAAGTTTGCTTCCGTTTGCAGACCGGCCGCTGTAAACCGCCCCATCCCTTGCCCTTACCTCCACGAACCGAGCACCCTCAATCACTCTGCATTCCGACACGAAAGGCGGGCCCAACCACTAGGAGCCCCCTCATGGCCTCATCTGGAGAAACCCTAACACCGGTGGCAACCCGGCCCCACCTCCCAAAATGGGGCAAGGACAGCAGCGGGCCAACGGCGAGCACCCCAGCCCACATGTTAATAAATTGTGCAACTATTTCATCACCGGGAACTGTAGTTACGGAGAGAGGTTCAAGTTCTTGCACTCTTGGTTTGTTAGTGATAGCTTCTCTTTGCTTACCCCTCTACAAGGCTACCAAAAGGTGAGATCTTTTTGCTGACCCCGGTTTGGGATTGTCAGAGTGGCCAAGTAAATTAATGTCTTGATGTGTTCTAATGGTTTTGAATTTTAATTTGCTGATTATTTTGAATTGTCCCATATGGGTTTTCTTTTGTAGTGTGTTGGTGTTGTTACTATGAGAAGTGAAGTTGGTTGCATGATCAGTGAGGGGCCGTGGATTTTTATAGGGGTTACTAATGCAGTCAGGGCTTTGAATACTCAAATGTCTCTTGATTTAAGCCTCAATTATTTAATTAATTATCCTTTTTTTGGAAAATCTTTAATATTTCTAAATTGTATCTGCGTTTAAGAAATGAAGAGATGTAAGATAGATTGGTTATGTTGTCGATGACATAGGTTCATATTTTTTGATCAATGATATTAGGTTTTTCTTTTGTGGTGATCATATGTATTTCTTTATTGAGGAGTTTGATTATTGACACTTTTGAGATTTGTTAAGTAGATTATGTAGTAGAAGTCCATGTTTGTATTGGGTATCACGTGGCTGAATCATCCATTTTGTCAAAGAAGATAGCCACTGAGGCTCCTCAGTCTATTCCAAGTAAGTTTTCTTACCATGGCTTTTGAATTGTAAATTTCATGTTTATTATGAACATGCATCTTTCAGAAGTTGACAAAGCTCCCTCACTGAGTTCTTAATTTAAGGTACCAAAATTATAATAGAATGTGTATTACATTTATCTATAGTTTGAGGATATTTGCATCATTTTGAGCAAGCTAATAGCAATTTCAATGATTTGAGGGACTACTTTCATTAATAAAAAATAAAGTAATTAATGAAAAGTTTGTGAAAAAATATCATTTCTTGAAAAAGAAAGAGAAATATAAAGTTAAAAGAAGAGTGAGTTTCATTGCAATTTTACTTCTTAGTTTCGATATTAGTCCCTTAAATATTTCTTTTTTTTAATTAGTCCCTTATATTGTTAAAACTGCTATTAGGTTCCCCAATTATTAAAATACACTACTGTTAAATTGTTGATCAGATAAGAGGCTCTCATTGCATAAGTTGTAACAATCATTGTCGCTGTTGATTTATAAGGAACCTTTTTCCTCAAGTCCTTAAACTTTAGTTGTAAAAGTGAAGTAACTGCTTCTCAATTATTTTTTGATGAAATGTTATACTTTATTGGATTTCTCAATACAGTCTTATTTTCTAATATGACCTCTATAAAGATAACATATCATAATAGACAAAACATAATTCAGCTAACACTATTCCTGTTTTCTTTTTAAATGTGAAAAGATAAGAGAGATTCATCAAGGAATCTGTGATGTCAATGTTATATATTGCGTTTCTTTTTTCCTTTGGGAATGCTCAATCAACATTCCAATTAGGGTTGTTTTCTCATCGGGTATTGGGGATTTTGGCTAGGGTCTGGTTGACATTGAATTAGGGATATGGGTAGGTTTACTTTTATCTGGGGTTTCTTTTTCAGCTTTGGGATTGGCAGTTCTGAGGGTGTGAACGTTACGAATCAAGCACTGAGGCACTACGGCGTGACGAAGCCGATCTCTACTGCTGGGGCATCAAATGTTGATCTGCAAAGAAGCGTGGAATTGGAGAAAGTATGTTCCTTACTTTTTGTTAAAGATTTTAGCTTCGGTCGATGCTGAATTTTTTTGGTTAATTTGGGTTTATTTGTTTTGAAGTTCTTGGTGGATGTGGGACTCTACGAGAGCAAGGAGGAAGTTGTTAAGAGAGAAGAAGTATTGGGACAAATTGATCAGGTCTGAAAATATTTTTTGGGGGGAAATTCTCTTTGTGGTAAAATTAGGATGATGCTTTTTCTTTGTAATTATGGTGATACATGTTTACAGAATTACGATATTATGACTCACATTTCACAGTACAATTTTTTCTTTCCAGAAAAGAATTATGTTCTCGTACTTTTGTTCCAGTTGTTTATCACTCCTGAAGAATGTAAATATTGTGTTACATGTCTGAGTCTTCTTGGTACTAGAACATTTTGCGATATTTCAGATTGTTAAAGAGTGGGTGAAGCAACTGACTCGACAGAGAGGGTATACTGATCAGATGGTTGAGGAGGCCAATGCTGTTATTTTTACATTTGGTTCTTATCGCTTAGGAGTTGTAGGCGTCTAAAAATGCCTATAGATATCCGCACACAGCACGAGACAGAGAGAAAACGACGAACATCGTTATCCGAGTCTAAGAGGATTATCTGACGCCGACAAGCGCCTGAAGCGAAACGGCGAATAAAGTGACCTGCGCGCTCGACAGTCAGCTCGCGCGCGCCAATCAGCTCGCATGCGTTAATCAACACGCGCGCGTCAATCAGTTCATGTGCATCGATCAACGCGTGTTCAATGATTGGTCTCGCGACGAAGCATACAAATCAACAAATCAACCGAATACGCGACAAGAATAAATCCCGGAAGAAAGAAAACAGAAAAAGGGAAAAAGTCAGCGAACCCGCGCTAGCGCAGGACGGGATGATCCGACCCGCGCATGCGCGGGTCGGATGATTCCGACCCGCGCGAGCGCGGGTCGGATCGTTCTGCCGCGCAGTAAGGTCCCAAAACATGTTTTGACGGGTTTAAATTAGTTTTTTGCAGGGTTTATCGGTTCCAAGGGTTCTTAACTGACTTGAGATCATCCCCAAACGTGGTTAGGCTGTTGTTGACTGAAGATAGAGCCAAATCACTTGTTCTCATCCAAATAACCGCATTCGAGGCCTATAAATACAAGCCAAAGGCCTCCATTTTCGAGGGCGGAGTTATTATCAAGACGTGGAGGTGCTGCTGGATTGAGGAGTCAAGGAGCACGAATTTCAGCGAAGGCAAATCAGATCCCGGCGAACTTCGGCATAAAGAAGGAGCTATTCGAAGGATCTGAACCCCATCCGTCCGTCCCTTGAGATTAGGCTTGGTCTTAATCTCGAGAAGAGCCCTGATTTCGCTTGGTCGATTTCAGCGCTTCAAATCGAATACTTCCTCGACGAAGGCGAAGCTCTGCTGAATTTTCCATCAACCGGATCCAGATCTAAGGCGGTCCACGGATAAACCCCGGCACAGGCAAAGATCCCACGCAAGCAGAAGACCGATAAAGGATCTCTGCGTTTGTTTGATAAAGTTGTAAATTCTTTTTTTTTATTTTCATTATGTAAGGAGATCTTATACAAAGATCAACTTTTTATTTTATTCGAGTTTATTGTAACGACTAAAGTTGTAATAGATTCGATAGCAATGAAAATTGTAACTTTCAACGCAAACAAACTGGCGACCACAGTGGGAGCCAACAGCTTCGCTGCCGGAGCTTTCGTGTCGCAACCTCAGATCTGCATCCCGGTTGAATAAGTGGTCGAATACGAGTTCGACCAACTGAAGTTCGAGGAATATCTGTCGTCCTCCTCCTCCAGATCCTCCGCCTCTCGCAAGCGAAGGAAGATCAACGCCCCCGTTGCTGCGATAGCTGAACCTCGTAATGCCTGTCCG